TTGGTAGCACTTGTTATGCTTGTGATGTTCGTCCCAAGGTAACTAAATTAGATCCTAATTCCTTGAAATGTATTTTTCTGGGTTACTCTCGTCTACAAAAAGGGTATCGTTGCACTGTCTGAGTCTTAGCAAGTATCTTGTGTCAGCTAATGTTACCTTTCTGGAACATATTCCCTTCTTTCCTAATTCTTATACTTCTTTCAGTAAGGGGGGATAATGATTTGTTGTTTATCATGCCACTTACTAGTCAACTAATGTTGTCTCTCCACCTACTGCTCTACCACCACCACCACCTATCCTCCATGTGTATTCCAAGCGTCGTAACCCTCCTGATGTTTATCTGACACCTGTATCTTCCTCAGCATCGGATCTAGTGGCCAGTGATCTTGATTTACCTATTGCTCTCTGCAAAGGTAAACGTCAGTGCACTTACCCTATTTCATCTTTTGTTTCTTATTTCTTATGATCACTTGTCTTCTTCTTTTTGTTCTTTTGTTGCTTCCCTTGACTCCGTGACTCTTTCGAAAAGTGTTCATGAAGTCTTATCCTTGCCTAGTTAGCTTGATGCTATGATCGAAGAGATGGATGCTTTGGATTCTAATGGTACTTGAGATTTAGTGAATTTACTTATAGAGAAAAAAAGCTATTGGATGTAAGTGGGTGTTTGTGGTCAAAGTCAATCCTGATGGCTTGATGGCTAGGCTTAAAGCCCGTCTTGTGGCTAAAGGATATGCTCAGACTTATAGTTTGGATTACTCTGACATTTCCTCTCTCACGGTGAAATTAACGTTTGTTCGCTTATTCATTTCTATAGCAGCTACACATAATTGGCTTTTACATCAATTAGATATCAAAAATGATTTCTTACATGGTGATCTCCAGGAAGATGTTTATATGGAGCAATCTCCTAGGTTTGTTGTTCAGGGGGAGTATGGGAAAGTGTGTCATCTTCGAAAGTCCTTATATGGTTTGAAACAGAGTCCACGTGCGTGGTTTGGAAAATTCAGTTAGTCAGCGAAAAAGTTTGAAATGCAGAAGAGAAAATCTGATCACTCAATTTTTTACAAACGGTCTAAATCCGACATTATTCCCCTTGTTGTGTATGTTGATGATATTGTTATTATTGGCAGTGATACTATGGAAATTTCATCCTTGAAGTCCGTCCTTCACACCCAATTTCACACGAAAGACTTAGGGGTGTTGAAGTATTTCTTGGGAGTTGAGGTGACAAGAAGCAAGAAAGACATCTTCTTATCTCAGAGAAAGTATGTACTAGACTTGTTAACCGAGACGGGAAAATTGGAAGCAAAGCCAAGTAGCGCTCCAATGCTTCCCAATTTACAACTTACTAAAGAAGGAGACCTATTTGAAGACCCTGAAAAGTATAGAAGATTGGTTGGGAAACTGAACTATCTTATAGTAACTCATCCTGATATTGCATATTCTGTCAGTATTGTAAGTCAATTCATGTCTTCTCCAACAGTTCACCATTGGGCAGCTTTGGAACAGATCTTGTGTCATATAAAGGGAGCTCCTAGACGTGGGATACTGTACAAAAATCATGGACATACCCACATCGAATGTTTCTCAGATGCAGATTGGGCAGGTTCCAATATTGACCGAAGATCCACTACTGGGTATTGTGCCTTTGGTGGAAGAAATTTGGTCTCGTGGAAAAATAAGAAACAAAATGTTGTGTCCCGATCCAGTGCGGAATCAAAATATAGAGCCATGGCACAATCTGTATGTGAGATAATGTGGATATATCAACTCTTAACTGAAATTGGTCTTAAGGCTTCAATACCAGCAAAGTTGTGGTGTGACAATCAAGCCGCACTTCATATTGCTTCTAATCCTGTGTTTCATGAACGAACAAGCATTTTGAGATTGACTGTCATTTCGTTCGTGAGAAGGTACAACAAAACTTAATCTCTACAGGATATGTAAAGACGGGAGAACAACTGAGAGATATTTTCACAAAGGCTCTAAATGGGATTCAGGTTAATTATATTTGTAACAAGTTGGGCATGATTGATATCTATTCTCCAGCTTCAGGAGGAGTGTTACAAGATGTAAATTAGAAAATTAGCTTAATTATAGGGATTGAATACCTTTCTATACATATATGAACTCTATAACTAAACTGGTTACCAATGAAATCAAATGCAGTTGCTACCTTAGTGAAGAAGAAATAAATTAAAAATGATTTGTCTTTATTTTTGCTCATCTTCTATTTCAACCATATTTAATAATTTTTTCTTTTATCTATTTAAAGTTATTATTAGATTTTTCCATCTCTTTCTTCCGTGCATCTTCTCTCTCAAGTTTATTGTTACCTTCAGTTACACTACATTTAAAGTCTGATTTCTTCTTTTCTTGTTGCCAGGTAATGTGTGGTCTTATCTTTTAATTTTTTTTCCCTTAATGTTAGATTTTTGCACTTTAAATTTTATAGCTACATCCGTTTTAAAAAAAAAAAAAAAAAAACAGATTATGTAAGTTGCTTATATAATTCTCGCTTTGTTAATTCGTTTCTTATTGTGTTCATAGTACCTTATTAATTTCTATCCTTACTTAATTTCTTATATGTTATGTTCTTTTTACAATACATTAGCTTCTATTCTTAACTTAATTTCTTAATTTAGTACATTCACAGTTTGGAATAAGTACAAATTTGAGTTAGGGAAAAAAAATTAGTTTTCTTTTCGCCTAAAAGTGAATTTATATATTGTGTGGGATAGATCCTTGATTTGACTTACACCTCTAAGTACAACTTTTTTTAACTATCTGTCTTACTGAGTACATAACTATTTATTATCGAAAGCTTGTTAGTTTTTCACAGGTGATCAAATTTTATCTTCTAATTTCAAGTAGTTTGATGGAGAAGTGTAAAAATAAATTTAAATAAAAAGTGAATGTTTTTAATAGATCTTAGAAGATAAGTAATTTTTTTTAAAATTGTTCTAGCTTGTCTTTATTTGTTTTTACCAATTATCTTCGGATCAAAAATCTAATAATGTTGATTAACAAGCCACCGTCGTCGCCACCACCACCATAGAGTATTTTCGATTACAACATCTTAGAACACTTCATTTTCCATGGAATCCAAATCCTTCCCCTCACCCGATTTTTTTTGGGGTGGGGGGGGGGGGAAGTAAACCATTTCTTAGTATTTTGTTTTCGGTCAATTGTTGATATTATGAGAGAAGTTGAGGAAAAAAATTAACTTCACTTGAGATTCATTGTACTTGAATTTTAATTTAATGTAATTTTAGTTCCTTCGTGTTTTGGGGGTTTCAAATGATTAATTGGTTATGGTTCATCTTGATTTCTCAATTCTTAAAAGAGAGTGGATTAATTATGTTTAGAGGCAGTATATATAGTAATGAGTATGCAAGATTTTAAGATATTTGAGTGTGTAGGAATTTTAGGCATTAACAGTTGTAAAATTAATGAATCATTTCTCGATTCTACTACGTAGTGACTAGATTAAAGTTTGATTTGTTTAGTTTCGAAAATCATTCTATTGTGAGTATGTTGGAGTCTCTGTTAGTCTATTTAACAAATATCAAGAATGTCTTCCTAAATGTGAGCATCTTAAACTTCAAAATAAAGAAATGCTGAGAAATTTGTTTAATAAAATTGCTTCATTGGTACAATGCCTGAATAATTTTTCTAAATCTTTTGGTACAAATGGCCATTTGTAAGTTTACATCTCCTTTGTTAGGGATAAACACATTTAGGTCATATGAATAACTAATGATAAATCCTTACCTTTTATTACTGAGTATGGTATAGATAAAATATATGGATGGACAAAGGGCTATGGATTTGTAAGATCTGGTGATAAGGCGAACAACTACGAGCCATGGCTAAAATAACTGGAAGGTACTGTTCAACCAGGCTCATGCTAATTGACTTGGCTGCGAGCAAACAAAGAGTGAGTAGTCATGTTAAAGGTATGATTTACCCTTCAGCCTTGTGATATGTTTGTTAGCTTATGAGATGTCCATTAAAGTAGCAAATTGACTTAAACATGCTGAATTCCTTTTTTTTTTTTTTTTTTTTTGTATGACGAGATCTGATTCTTGAATCTGGCAGTTTAAATGCACTGGTGACCTTTTGCTTTAGAGGCATTTTCAAGATTCGATGTCTGTTGAACAATAGTGTTGAAATTTGCTTCCTTCCAATTGTGCTTTTGAATCCTTGAAGATAACCACAGTTTATGATATTATTTCTTTCGAGAACTTTAAACCTGTTAAAAATAATAGCCTTTGTTCAATCAACGCACGTATCTCCTGTCAATACTTATACATTGAACACACTAACATTAATTTCAAAATGTCCCAACCCGTGTATTGCACGGGCAAAGACTAGTGCATGAAAAGAGTATGCAAGTGGCATTTTCCAAACAACTTTCACCACAATTTGTCCAGCACATTTGCCCACAACCATGAAGGGTGTGTTTTTGCTTCTGTTTCTCGTAGAAGGACCTCTCGAGAAAACTATCTTAATTTAGCTTACTCTAAAACTCTTCTAGTCTGACAAAGTACTCCTACAAAATTATTCACGCGGGTTCAAAAATAGCTCTTTATTTTGATTTTATAAAAACCTTGTCAAACAGGCTGATAAGAGGGATAAAGTCCCACATCGAATAAAGATGAAAACATAAATCAATTTAAAAAATAATTGGGTTACTCTTTTTAACAATGTTGACTTTTTAAGATGGAATCCCAAATTTTAACATGGTATTAAAGCCCATTAAACTCAAACGAGTTATTCGATTCGATTAAAACTAAAAAAATGAGTATATAGATGTCAAGATTGGTCTGCTCAAAACAAACCACCATCTTGCAGGTGCATATTAAGGGATAAAGTCCCACATTGAATAAAAATGAAAATATAAACCAACTTAAAAAAAAAAAATTTGGGCTATACCTCTTAACAAGGTTAACCTTCTAAGATGGAATCCCAAATCTTAATAGAGACCTTAAACCACATTCCTAGACATCCCCTTGGTTATATTTGAATAAATGGTCAAATAAATTTCATTTCCTTGTTACACATAAGTTCAACATTTATGCCCATGTATCTCAAATTCTCACAACAACCTCAACATATAAAACACCACAGGCCTCCAACATTTGATAAAAGCCCATAATAATAATATAACAAATGGATGCAAGTAATGTAACAAGAGTATTACTCGTTGCCATTGCACTTTGGACCATACCTCTCAACTCTTTCATCAATCCAAGCCCTCATATCAGCCAGAACAAGATTTGCACTTTCATCAGGCTCCCCTTGGATCAATGAATGGTACATTCCTTCATACAGCTTCAAACTCTTGTCCTCGCTGCTTGCCTTCTCGTACAACATCTTCGACCCGGACGAGCAAGTGACTCCATCCAATGTCCCGTGGACTGTCAAAAATGGCACCGTTACCTTGTGGAAATTGTTTTGCACGTACTCGCACTGCCTTGCTATCTCTCTCATCGTTCCAACTCTAGGCTTCCCAGTGTATCTTCTTGGATTACAGGCGATAATCTTTAACTTTTCGGGGTCTCTAATGGCCTTCCCTACCATCTTATTGTCCGGCATGGCTGCCCATGTATCAGCTAATCCAAACAGCAGTCCGTACATGAATAAATGTACCTTTAAAGACAGACCACCATCATATTGTAATCCCTTAAATAAGGCTACATGTATCTAAATAAGCATTTCTCACGATTGCAAATACTGAAGTGTCCTCAACTAATTCTCATGGATATCAAAATATTTTAAATTTTAATCAATTTCGTGAATTTGAATATATTTCTACAGAATTTATAAGAATCTCAATAAAAATTGGGGAAATTTCAAGAGAGTTTGTTAGGAGTGCTTTTAAGCTTGAATTTAAAATCTTCATTAAAATCTCAACTGGGGCACTTCTTGAATTTAAAAGTACTTTTAAAATCCACTAAAATCTGAGTTGGACACACCCAGTTATACTCGTGAATCATGATTGCTTAAAGGGAATTCCAGAAACTCAAAACAAACTGCTCGAGTTAATACAGTACTTGAATATCAATTTACCTTAGAGGGCTTCATGGGTTCTGGAATTACAAAAAGCGGGGCGGAGAAAATCAACCCGGTCCAAGTTCCGGGCTCCGATTGGAAGTACATCAACATGGTGGCAAGTCCACCCATGGATTCCCCGAACAGAAATGCCGGCATATGCTTGTACTCATCACTAAACCTCACGCTCTTGAAGAAGCTCAAAGAGGAGGCAGCCACCTTATCCATTTCCCCTAGGTAGCACCGGATCCCGTCAGAACGGCCGTGGCCGAGGAGGTCGGCGGCGAAGACGGCGTATCCCCAGGTGGCGTAGTGGATGCAGATCTTCTGGAAGAGCCACCCGGTGTCGGAACCGTAACCGTGAGACATATATACGGTGGCCTTGAGGGCTTGGGTGGTGTCAAGTGGGAGGAATGATTGTGTAAAGAGTTTGCCATTTGGGGTTTCGAAGTATGATTTTGTGTTGCGGACTCCTTGTGAAGAATAATATTCTTCCTCCGGCATGTCACCCCAGAAGTTTGGTGGTGGAGGCGCCGCCGTTGGCGGTTCTGCTGCTGGTTGTGCTGGTGGCATGATTCATTAGTCTTTTGGAAGGTGTGGAAATTTGAAGGTTGGTGAGCGAATATATAGGTGTGCGGGGTGGTTGGACGGTGGTTTTTTACTTTTTACCGACCCTGAAATGGTTTATGGTTGAGTGGGTAGTTCGAAGGGGGGCGCGGGGGTGTTGTGGTGTGGGGTTCGAGGGAGTAGGTGGACCGAATATCGATACGTGAATAAGGATGAGATCAGATTGGATTGACGGTGCAGATCAAATGTTTTGTTCATGCCTTCTTTGTTGACCTGAATTGGCCCTAATTTGACACTGGAAATTTCACCAGAAAGATTTTAGAAGCTAGAGAAAATAATACAATTACTTCTTTTTCTTTTTTGTTGTTTCCTTGTCTTTCTTATTCAGTTAGATATGTTTGGGGTATATCGAATTAGATAAAGTGTATCATGATTTATTCACTATGCCTTATGTACATAATTGGATCACAAAAAAATGCATAGAAATTTAAAATTTTTAGAAACCATGTGCATTTCACGTGAGGGAGCAACTGGTCAATTTGACTAATCTAATAAGCCAAATGGAAATCTTGAACCCAGCAGAATTGAAGCCGGCAGAGGTGTTGAACACCAAAAGGAAAAATCCCGCCTTCTTTCCCGCCGATTTCACTCTCACTGTGGTCGTGAATTTCACATTCGGTGAAGGTGAAATCTCCCGACCCGTCATTGCCCTTTGCAAGTCTTTCCCAACTCATCATTGTCCTTCGCAAAGCCTTCCCTCCAAATCAAAATCATTGCTCCCCAACTATGAAGATGGTGATGCCCAACTCTAACAGTGGCTGAATTTGCAATTCCCTGACACCGGAAAACCTAGTGGAGCCAAGCTCAGGTAATGTCATTATGTTTCAGATGGATTTCGATTTCTCATAAATTTGTTGAAAATGCACAGTGCAAAATCGAAACATTCGTAAATGTTGGTTGTTTGAGATGGTAGTGACATTTTTATAATGTCAATACCTTGATGTTTCTTGAAAATTATAGTGCCGTTTTTATAGTTGTTCTTCTAAGGTTAAGATTGTTAACAGGCAAATGACTTCTTGGTTTTTACAAATAAGCATGACCATTGGGCATATATTTCATACACTTATGCCTCATCTTTTATTACCTCTGCATTGATACCTTCAATTGTGAAACGGCTAAGAATTTGATTCCGTGATTGTCCCTTCATAAATACAATAGAAGGTGTAAAAATACCTGAATAAAATTTTGAATCTGAGAATTCTCTGTTTCTATAAATTGCCTATAACTGAAGGATGAGATGTACTGAACATTGTCATTCATTGTGTTACAATAGGAGCAAATATGAAAGACACTGCTGATGAGAATGTTGCGGACAATGTAATATCATTGGAAGAGCAAACGTTAGGAGAAAATAATCCGATGGTGCCGGAGGTGGGAATGACCTTCAATGAAGAAAAAGAATTGTGTGACTTTTATAAAGAATATGCATATTATGTTGGGTTTCCAGAACGGAGAAGGAATTCGAAAAAAAGAGATGATGGGAAAATGAAATATTTCACCTTCACATGTAGCCGTGAAGGCCGAAGAACAACTAGTACAAGCGGTTCTTTGAAGCCCCAACCAAAAATTCAGACGAATTGTAAAGCCATGATCACTGCATGTTCAGATTATCATGGGATCTGGAGAATTAACAAAGTCCACCTCGACCACAATCATAAAACAAGTCCTTCGAAGTC